ACTCGTGTATTTTAATTATATTTTTTACTTTATTAATATAAAATTAATATTTAATAATTAATGTGATGGATGAGCTTGCAAATCACTACACATTTTCTCAAATTGAAGCTTTTACATTATTTCGCGGCGCCCATGTAAAGAGGCCGCGGCGCACAATTTGGGAATCCCTACCCTATGGGAAAGCAAGGCTATGTGAAATTCAATGGAAACATAAGGTCTACTCATATCAGTGCGGTATATTCAATTACCAGTCCCCTTATCACAGTAAAAAAACTTGGTGAAGACACCTCGCATAAATATAATCTGATGCAGAAATTCACCCAAATAATCCCAGAGGTAAGTCCGTCGCTGGAAAAGACGGGTTGAGCGAAACCCGAAGGAAAACATCAGTTCTAAAGCAGGGACAAGGCCTCGGTCAGCAGAACAGAGGAAGTTAGTAAGTACACCCCGAGAGGCTGATGAAAGACTTTGACTACTGCCACCACCACCGCCGCTTCCGACACAAGCAGAGGTACTATTGGCAATTGTATGGCTTGTTTGTCTGTAAAAAACGAACGGAACAAGATTCAGGAATGAGGTCAAATGCAAGACCAAGAGCTAGACAAATTTTGAGAGTAAGACCTGATTTATGCATTAAGTCTATAAAAAAATCTTTATTCATAATAAAAAAATAAATCAATTGCTGAACTAAAATACCGGGTTTTAGTGATCCGACTAGAATCTCCTATCAGGATCTCTGTCATAGGCCTGTAGATCCGTTTCTTATCGTTCTGGTTGAACGATTTCATTCGGTTCCAGTCCCAGTATATGTTTTAATTCAGGCGCTATTTCTCAAGCCCTCACTAGCACGTACAATTTAGCCTCACCTGAAGAGCGCCTTATGTTCACGGCTTATCCCTCTGATTCAGCTCCTGTACCCTGAGCAAACTGTGCACTTTTATCTCTGGTCGCCTTCTGCCTTTCGAGTAGGATTCCTGTCAATTTGGCCATAATGCGAAATTTTTGTGAAAGTTGTCATAATCCTTCTTCCGACTTATGTGACCTACAGGCCCCCAAAGTTGTAGTTGTTTCCTCAAGAAGATTACACTAAGTAAGACCGCCTTTGCTTGATTTCCGAATGTTCCGCTTCCTCTATGCGATCCCTTTTCCTCTGTTTAACGTTCTTTAAACAGGCGTCGCATTTTTGCTGGTAATGTCGTATCCTTGTTGTCTCCACGTTTGCTTAAGCATTAGGCAAAGTATCGCTAACTCTACCTTCTTCCAACCTCCTATCAACTAAATTTCTTTTCCCAAGGAATTCAATGGCCTCAAAATACTTCCGTTTCCGTCATTTATGAGATTACTATTACTTATGGACATTTATATGACATTGGCTCATATACACATTGCACAGATTGAATAAGCATATAAAAATCTTATGAACGGGTTAAAAATGTAGACCATCTGAATAAATGAGCCTTTTTTGAAAATAGACTAAAAGTAACTTTAGATAGGAAGATTTAGAGGAACGCACCTAGTCCGGAGTCCATTGTATACATGATCATTTCCAAAGTCGGTACATGGACGTGGTATCTTCCCAGACGTTTCGCCGGCATCGTCAGTGAGTTTTGCCATTCTTAGCACCATATTACAACTCGTTAAAGAGACAAAAGAAGCTGATTCTTTGACCAAAAGTTCGCCAAACAGTTGTGGCATTTCTCCTTCTGACCTGGGCTATTTACGTTTCCTATATCCTCGTGTCACGCCTTCATTCATACAATTTTACCGTGCTTATTTAGATGTAGTGTGGTGTGCCCTTTTGAGCGACATTCATGAGAACCCTCCACATTACACGCTGGCGTTCTCACCCCCCTTTCACCCTTGTGCTGTGAATGTTGATCAGAGTCTGCCATATTGTTGCGCAATCATTCTTCCATAGGCCTTATCAGAATCTCCCTCCTGCCCCGTTAAACCTAATCAAAACAAGCAGTACCATAACATTTGTGGGTTGGAACACAAGATACTGGGGTATAGGAAGTCAGAGAATCGGTATTAGGGATAGAAACAGGATAGACGCAGCGGAGTCTATAGCTAGTTGATTGACAGTAGGCTGTACCATAGATTTGGTCCACATAGCACATGCTTCACAATGAGATTTACTGAGAGACGCAGGGGAGGGGTAATAACGCCTCGAGTAGCACATATAAGGTTGCAGGGGTCGAGGGTCGAGGGGCAAGAGGGAGACTCTGATAGGACCTAGGGAGGGAGGACTGCGTAACAATATGGCAGACTCTGATCAACATTCCCAGCACAAGTGTAAAAGGGGGTGAGAACGCCAGGATGGAGTGTTTAGGGTTCTCATTAAAGCCGCTCAAAATGGCATACCACACTAGATTTAAATAAGCAAAGAAAACATTGTGACAGTAAAGGAATGATACGAGGATATAGAAGGAGAATAGCCCAGGACAGGAGAGATACCACAACTGTTTAGCCCATATTTAGTCAAAGGATCGGCTTCACTTGTCTGTTTTACGAGTTATAGTATGGTGCTAAGAATGGCAAAACTCACTGACGCTGACGACCACGATGCCGGCGAAACGTCCGGGAATGCACCACATCCACTGTCCGAATTTGGAAATGATGATGCATACAATGGAATCTGGACTAGGTGCGTTCCTCTAAGTTGCGAAAACAAGGTAAAACAACTTCTATACAAGGAGAGGAGACTGCGACCACACAAAAAGTCACACCATCTTGGTCTTCATATCGTCTAATAATATATATTTACTTATTTTTCGAAGCATATAAAGATGAATCACAAGTTTCTTTTTCCCATTCTTGCTCAAGAACAAATGGGTCTAATTATGCCATCTGAACTCTGGCCGATTAGATGATCTGGTTTCAACTACTGGTGCAGGCCAGTCATGAATAGGCCTTCCCGAGTGCAATAGACTTGCCTCTGCATCAAAAGACCAATTAATACATTTGTCATGCCTAGGTCTAAGGCTTAAGCATTACGAACCAGTTGTCAATATAAATTATGCTCCAACATTATAATGGCAAT